ACACACACACACACACACACACACACACACACACACACACACACACACACACTGGAAACCAGGTTTCCATGTTTGAAATAAAAACCAATCACAGGTTGCAAGGGGCATGGAATAGGAAGCTGATGGGAGCAGCTGACATTTTACCTGGGTGGGAGAAGGGCTGGGGCTTACCAGCTCTCTGGGTGTCCCCGCCTGGGGCAGGGCTTGTGTTTCCTCTGTAGTGAGCAATTTTAATTTTTTATCCTTATGTTATTTACAGAGCCCATCCCCACCCCCCAACCTGCCCTACAGGGACCTTCAGGGAGAAGCTTTCAAATTAAGGAGTGCTTCTGTAGCCCCTAGAAACTTCATTTTTCTTAACTTCTGTTGCTTTATACTTTGTGCTGACTCTGCTGAGGTCATCCCCTGAGAACCTGTCCTGGTAGGATTTAGGAGATTTGGCATTTGTCTCTGGGTTCTTATCCCGAAGATAAAAATGGCTTCCTTCCTACCTTGGCTCATGAAAAGCATCTTACTACTAAAAGTGCTATTAATCCAGCGGACCCGTCAGCTTGATGCATGGGCTGTTAGAATTCTTGCACGTTGGGCCATTTCCTTTAGGAACACTCTCTTGGGGCTTTTAAGTTGATTGGTTTTCTCTGGGCTGAAAGAAACCTGCCCAGAAAGCTCTCATGTATATTTGCAGACTTTTGATAGTTTAATACAGGAGGGCAAGTGTGACTCGTGAATTGACAGTTCCGGCTTTTCTTCGATTCTGTTCATTCACTATAATTCTTTCCTCCTTTGAATTTCAACCCATGTGAGTCTTAAATTAAGCTGCAGCCAACATTCGTTCCCAGTCTTCTGTTTATTGACAAAACATACAGGAATCTTTATTTATGGCTTTTCGAGATAGGGTTTCTCTATGTAACCTTGGCTATCCTGGAACTTGCTCTGTAGAGCAGGCTTGGCCTCAATCTCTTAGAGATCCACTTGACTATGCCTCCCAAGTGCTGGGATTAAAGTCATGCCCCCCTACGCCCCACTAGGAATCTTAATTTATACTTAATTTAGCGTTTTGGAAAATTAGGAGCTGGGGTTGGGGCTATAGTTCATTGTAACATGCATGAGGCTCTGGGTTCAAACTCCATCAGTAACTGTATGAACTGGCATGTAGCTGAATGGAGAACATGTGCTTCACATGAGCAAGGTCCTCTATTGGATTCCCAACACCTCAAAAATCAATAAAATAATAAAGCGTGAGTTCTAGGAAATTGGCCATGGCCAATTTAGTGTTAGTGAAACTGTGTTTACATATGCTTGTAAAACATGTAGCAAGTGCTAGACTTAGGGATGTATCGTGGTCTTACATGGACCATTAATCTTTTGGTTTTCCTTAGGCTTCTTAAAGGCATCCGCCAGAGAAGTATGAACGTTGTTGCTTTGAGATGTACTTGCTGCTGGTACAAAGTGGGGAATCTAAAGAAGATCTCCTTTGAGAATCATGATGTGTGGCTGGGTGGGGAGTATTCTAGTATAGGAATAGTATAGGAATAGCTGAACATCTGGTATCTGGATGGATTACCTCTGAACCCAGTGGCGGCACATTACCTGGAGGTTTTTCCTGTGTGCCCTACATTGTCTTACAATAAGATGTGCTTGTCAGAGCTGAAGCCATTGCTTGGAGTCAACAGCGGGACTGTAGTGATTTCTGAGCCGACAGGAAGGTATCTTACATTAATGCATTTCTGTCTTGTTTGCTGTGATCATCAACCTCATTTCCTGTCCCTCTTGGCACCTTGTGGTCTCCTTGTTACAGCGCACCTTCCCTGGCTAGCTCAGTTTCAGAAGAGAGGAAGGTGTGTGCATCATTCACTGCTCACCTCTGGCTTCTAAAATACAGTAGGTGCTCAGCAGGTGTTTCTTGAACACATGGCTCTGCGTGCAGCTGACAGAGCCGGTGCCGTGATTTGCCGAGGGAGGCCCTATTTTCTTTTGTCCTTTCATGTGTGTGATCTTGAGTGTCTATGTTTGGAGGAGCACAGGAGAGGTTCCTGGAGCTGGAGCAAGGATCGAGGCCAGATAGAGTCACAGTTGTGAAGCCATGAAAAATTTCCTTTGCAACAGCATTGTGTCATCAGGTCAGAGATGGAGGCTAGGGATGTGTTAAGGGAGGACTGAGTCAGCCCGGTTGGTCCCGCTAGGCTGGACTGAGTTTGCTGGTTTCACAGTATGCGTTTTCTGTCTTGGGGCGTTCTGTACCAGATTCATGTTCACAGGTTGGATTTGCTCCCAGAAATAAACCCGTTAGTCAGCTGCCGAACGAGGTTTTTATTTTGTCCTTCCTATGGCCCTCCTCCCTCAGATCAAAGTTTTCAGAGTGCCTGTGAAATGGATGGTAGCAGTCTATGTTCTTCAGGATTTTGATTTGTTAGGAAAACATTGATTAGATATGCATTTTGAGGCTTTCAAGTTCTGATTGATTTTTGAGGTGTGGCTAGAATCCAAGTAAAGCAGGGGGGAAAAAAAAACCTCCCCAAACCGTGGAACAGATAAAACTATATAAGCAAAAACAAGAAAACAAACAGAACCCCCGGCATAAAGGAAGAAAGAAAATTGTTCTTTTAATGGATACCCAGGTTTGTACTTGAGTTTTCAGTGTTTGGTAAGAGCAGACTTTCCAATATATCATTGTGGTACTTCAGAAGAAAGATAAGGTGAGCAGAGTGGCCACCTGCATGGGAGCAACACTCTGGGTATCCCATGGGCACCTGCCCTCTGGGCACGGGCACCTGCCCTCTGGGCACGGGCACCTGCCCTCTGAGCATGGGCATCTGCCCTCTGAGCATGGGCATCTGCCCTCTGAGCAAAGACCGCTCCCCACTGAATTCCCACGAGTGTTTCACCTCTCTGGGGACTATCTCAATAGATAATGGTTATCTCACCTGTTGCCAGGTGAGATACATTTGTCCATATATTTGCCCACAGCACCCAGAAGCTGTGCTTTTATTTACCTAACCCCATAGTCAAAGTGTCTGCTCAGCCTGACCCTAAGCCCTTACTGCTGAGATCTTTATACCCATTCAAACACAGACTCAATTATCTCCTCTTTTTTTTTTTTCCTCTTCCCCCTTTGCGGTACAGACCATAAAACCATGGGAAACGCAGAAAGCCAAAATGTAGACCACGAGTTTTATGGAGAAAAGCATGCCAGCCTGGGGCGGAAACACACATCACGCTCCCTGCGACTGTCACACAAGACTCGGAGGACGCGGCATGCCTCCTCCGGGAAGGCGATCCACAGGAACTCCGAAGTGAGCACCCGGTCTAGCAGTACCCCCAGCCTCCCCCAGTCCCTGGCTGAAAATGGCTTGGAGCCCTTCTCCCAAGAAGGAGCCTTAGACGACTTCGGGGACCCCATCTGGGTGGATCGAGTAGATATGGGCTTGAGACCTGTATCTTACACGGATTCCTCCGTCACTCCCAGTGTAGACGGCAGCATGGTCCTCACCGCCGCCTCTGTGCAGAGCATGCCAGACTCAGAGGAGAGCCGGCTTTACGGGGATGACGCCACGTACTTGGCTGAGGGAGGCAGGAGGCAGCGTCCCTATACATCCAATGGGCCCACGTTCATGGAGACAGCGAGCTTTAAGAAGAAACGCTCCAAATCTGCAGACATCTGGCGGGAGGACAGCCTGGAATTCTCACTCTCCGATCTGAGCCAAGAACACTTAACAAGCAACGAAGAAATCTTGGGTTCCGCGGAAGAGAAGGATTGTGAGGAGGCTCGGGGGATGGAAGCAGAGACGAGTCCCAGGCAGCTCAGCACCTGTCAGCGAGCCAACTCCCTGGGTGACTTGTACGCTCAGAAAAACTCCGGGGTGAAGGCAAACGGAGGACCGAGGAACAGATTTTCAGGCTACTGTCGGAATTTGGTGTCTGATATTCCTGATCTCGCAAAGCGTAAGATGCCACCGGCTGCTGCTGAAGAGACTCCTCCGTACAGTAATTATAACACACTTCCCTGTAGGAAATCGCACTGTCTTTCCGAAGGTGCCACCAACCCACAAATTAGCCTTAGCAAGAGCATGCAAGGCAGAAGAGCAAAAACCACCCAGGTAAAGCCTCAGAGATCTGTTTCCGTGTTTTGGAAGTGGTGCATGGCTCTTAAAGCGCATGATTTTGCTCTTCCCAGTTCCTCGTGTTAAAATCGGGCTTTTCCGGGGTTTTTTCTGGCAGCTGCTGCAGCTGGTATGGCTTTGGCTGCGCCCCTCTTCCAGTTCTGTGGGTAAGGGGTGGGGATTGAGGGGTGTGTATGGGGTGAGGCGGGAGGGTGTGTGAGGAATGGCAATAGCCCCGCTAAGTTCACACTGGGAAACTGCCTCTCACCTCAGTCCCTCAACAGCACCTCCCCGACGGGACTCTCGCACTCGGTGCTCTCTGTGGGCTCGCGGGCATGGTGGGTTGCGGCACTTGGGGCTCATATCCACGCTGCAGCAGGTGGGGAGACGAGGACCACGGTGGGGCAGCTCCTTGGAAGGAGCCTCTTCGACTCAGTGGTCGTTTGTCGGCGTCTCTCTGGTGTTGGCCAGGCTTGCTGTCTTACCAGGAGCCTTTTCAATTTCCTGTTCCTGGCGATGCGGCCAGCCCTGTCTCTGGAGGGAGGTCTAGCAGGAGGAATAACATGGGTGGGGTCCCAGTGTGTAAGTTGTAGCCAAATGGTTTGACCTGGGGCAAACCCTGACTTTTAGAGGCCCCCCCCCAAGGGTGGGCATAAAGATGCTTTAGCTGCTCGCTTGGCAGGTGAATGTGGGGGAGTGGAGGGGTATGGGCAGATTTGCAGAAGAAGACTCGAAAAGCGTGTGACCTGTGGAAGGGGGACCCACTGACTTGGCTGGCAAGGATAGCTTGAGTGACTGACAGACAACCCTGCATGCTTTGGTCCTTTCCCGATGCTGCTGTTCCTTGTGGCAGATTTTGGGGAGTTCAGGATTCCGACCAGGTTGAGAAGTGGTCAGTGGATTGCGCTTCTGATCCCCAAGTGGATCTGAGCCATTTGCTTTGAAAGACACTGGGTATAGCATGGTGACCTGCGAAGGCCGCTGCACTCTGGCCTGCCCAGTAGGGGGCAGTGCTGCACTCTCTGGCCTGGCCCTGGTTTGGGTCAACCAGGCACTGGCAGAGTGACTTTTAAGGTGGGCCAGTGGTAGAGGGCCTGGCGTGCGGCTGGGTTTCTTCCTGAAGATGGATTTTGCTGAGGCTGCCAAAGCCATTGTCCTAAGGCTTCACCTCTCCCTACCTGGTTGACTTTGGGCAAGTTAGGAGTTGTTTTGAAGCCTTGATTTCTTCACCTGCCTAAGTGGAGGTCATGGGACTGGGGACTCGATCTCAGTGGCAAAGAACTTACTTGGCTGCAAGAGGCTATGGGTTAGATCCTCAGCACTGTGATGTGCACACACCAAGTCGGGGAAATAATAGGACAATTGGAGAAAATGGAGTGAAATCATCCATGAGTCATGAAGCCTGGTACTTAGGCAGCAGCCAGCGGAGGGGGTGGGGGGTGATTGGTTCACCGTTAGAACCCTGAGCATCGTTAGTGGTACTGTGTGGGTTGAAGACTTGGGGCAGTTGGGTGTTTGTGCCCAGATCTTGAGTTGATGAAGAATCAGAATGTGCCATCTGAGAAGGTGATCAGGAACTGTGCATCTAAGAGGTACTGCCTGAATTCTAACCTCTTTTTTTTTCTGAGTTGAGATGATAACAAAAGTGAGATTATGGCAGAGATGACGGGTTCACATCCTACCTGATGGGCCCGCTAAGTATCCTGCGAGGCTCACTACTGAGCGGTCAGTTTGACAGGTCATAGACTGGTGACCTGTTAAAGGGACACATGGAAAGCACTGAAGGGCTCCCCTGAAATTGTCTGCCAATCAAATTGGCATCACAGGACTGATTCAGAGAGATACTCTGCCTGCCTTGGCAAAGGGTATGTTGACCTAGACAACACCTTTGCCTGGAATGACTCAACCTTACTCTCTGTAAGGTTGGAGAGGGCTACCCAGCTACATTCTGTCTCCATGGTTATAACACCAGAGATAGCCAGAGCCCGGCTTGGCCCCACATGCTTCAGGCCTTTAAATCCCAACCACCCATGGAACAGGGGCAAAGCGAGACGATGCTCCCATCTAGATCAGCTCCGCTGAGGGCTCCCCTGGGAGACTGCAATATGAAATCTCCATCCCTTGGCTTGCTGACCTCCCAAGTTCATATACAGAAGTGAGATCATCTAAGTGTGGTGTCTCAGAATGTAATGCAAAGTGCTATGGACTAGGAATCCTAAGAAGGCCATTTGCATGCTGGCTTGTCTGCTTATCCGCTGGACGTCCTTGGGTAAGTCACTTCCTCCGGGGAGAGGGACACCATCCTCCAGCAGGGCTGTGTTAGGTGAGCCGAAAGGAGTGCCGTGCTTGGAAGCCTTCTGTGGAGCCTAGAAAATGAGCGGAAGTATTATTTTGGTATTGACTTTATATGTTGAGTAAGGATCTTTAATGACTTGAAACAAACCCCAGAATTATGCACAACACTATCCATCCACCCACATTTTCCTAGTCTAAGTTCGAGCGCACTGTGTTCCAAACAGAGTATTTTAAGAGATGGTGGGTGTGGAAGCTTCCTTGAAAAGAATGCGTCTTTTCCTTTTCAAAGTTTTTGACCCAAGGGACCTCTGTAGCAAGCTTGAATCATAGATCTCAGTCTCCTGGTCGGCCCTGGTGATGGAGTTTTGTCAACCATTTCACTCCCACCGGAAAAAGTTCCTGGCAGACATTTGGCCCAAGAACGCGCGACCTCTCAGCCCGGAGAAAATACACTGGATCCAAAATAATGTGGCCAATTTCATTTGATTTGAAAATGATCAAAAAAAGAAGCTTTGGCCATTCTTCCTGTTTTTGTGTGCTCAGTGGTTGGATTTGTTACTGAAATAGACAAGCTGTAGAGTTCACATGTAAGCTTTGAAAGTATCATATATGATGAGCCATGGTATCTGGCACACAATTATTTGTTTAATTCACACGTCTGGGCATGTGTGTTTTGTACATGTACACATGCTGTATGTAGTTTGTACTGAGAACAAATGGAGCAGAGTCTAGTTATTGGTTTCAGCAACAGTACAGAGTGGGTTGCTCCTTGGATTTCATTGACGGCTTGCTGGATTTCGGGCTGAACTTGGCTCTTCGGTTCCCAGTTCTTTGGAAACAGATTAAGGAGAGGGTAGCCCAAGGTCATGCAGAGTCAAAGGTGTCAGCAAGTCTGGGCTTGGGAGTTTTTGCTTCCTGCCTTTTGGTTGTTTAAACTCATGAATCTGGGTTCTTTTCAAAGGACACTCCCAGGGAGATTAAGCATTCTAGGAGGGAAGGAATGGACAACTTAGGACATTGGCTCTCGAAGTAAGAGATGCCCACTAAATAGTGGCTTTAGTTAGGAAGGCAAGGCGTGGCTTCTTGCTCTGGAGTCCCATCTTCTGCAGCTCTGAGGCTTTCAAAGGATGAGTAGGAGAGAGAGGACGCTGCCGCTGGTGATCTGGCCAGGCTTGGCGTGTCTGTGGAGTGCCTGAGGGAAGGTTTGGCTTGTAGCCATTGTGCACACTTGAGGAGACCTGCCTTCACCCAAGGGGGAAGTGATAGAATGTGACTTGGCTCTATGAAGCCTGTTGCAAGGAGCCAGAGACTCTAGAGAGGCGTGAGGAGGTCTCGGCCGAGGTGTGCTGGCCTGTTGCCAACCTCTCAGCCGTCTCAGGAAGTCTGCGCACCTTGGTATCTAGTGGGAACAGGAAGAGGCCGAGCTCTCTGCTAGACCTTAGGGATTCACTTCAGCCTGGTTTCAAGATGCCAACTCCTTGGAGGAACCTCCCAGACCCTCTTTACCTGACTCCATAGCCTTTCAGGGAAGGAGGGTGTCTTAGTCAGTGTTCTGTTGCTCTGAAGAGACACCATGACCACAGCAACTCTTACAAGGGGAAGCATTTACTTGGGGCTGGTTCACAGTTTCAGAAGTTTCGTTCATTTTCATCATGGTGAGGAGCATAACAGAAGACAGGCAGACATGGGGCTGTGTCTTGGTTTGGGTTTTCATTGCTGTGAAGAGACACTATGACCATGGCAACTCTTACAAAGAAAACATTTAATTGAGAGGGCTCAACTTACAGTTTCAGAGGTTCAGTCAGGTATCATCATGGCGGGGAGCCTGGCGGCGTGCAGGCAGGGGTGGTGCTGGAGCTTAGAGTCCTACATCTTACAGTCAACAGGAAATCAACTGAGACACTGGGCAGTATCCTGAGCATAGGAAACCTCAAAGCCCGCCCCCACAGTGACACACTTCCTCCCACAAGGCCCTACCCACTCCAACAAAGCCACGCCTCCTAACAGTGCTGTTCCCTATGGGATGATGGGATTATGGGGGGCAGTTACATTCAAACCACCACATGCTGGAACAGTATTTGAGAGCTCTGCATCCATTTCTGCAGGCAGCAGGAAGAGGGAGTACCTCTGGGCTTGGCAAGGGCTTTTGAAACCTCAAAGCCCACCCCCAGGGACACGCCTCCTCCAACAAGGCCACACCTCCTAGTCCTTTCACATAGTGCCACTCCTCATTCAAATCTGTGAGCCTATAGGGGCTGTTCTCATTCAGACCACCACAGAGGGAGACCTGAAGAGCGTAGGTGTAAGATCTCAAAATTCTGGTCTTCAAGTTGGAGAGATGGCTCAGGGGTTAGGAGCACTGGCTGCTCTTCCAGAGGATCTGGGTTCAATTCCCAATACCTAGGCACTCACAAGTGTCTGTAACTCCAGTTCCAGGAGATCTGACACCTTCACACCAATGCATGTAAAATAAAGTAAAAAAAAAAAACCAAAAAAATTCTGGTCTTCGAACTCCACGGTGTTTTCGCTTCCCTTCCACAGCCTTAGACTGTAAGGTGAAAATCCTCAATTCTGTCCAAGGAAAAACGGCCTTGTTGGCTAAAAATGAAATTAGTACTGCTGGTTCTCATTAGATGACCAGGAAAATTCGAGAAGCTATCCCTGATGTTTCCTTTGATCAACAAATAACAGTTGATAGTTTT